TAGGGATATATTAAGAAAAAAAAAGGAAAAATATTATTTTTAATAAATTAACGCACTCAAAGAAAGTGAATTACACGTTTTTTACCATGTTAATATTTTGTGTTTAATAGAAATGACTTTTAAACAAATAAAATATTCAATTGATACAATAATTAATTGAAATATTTAAAAGAATTATGCAAACAACTTTAAATGGCTACGGATGAGTTAAGCCTTAAAATAAACGTGAAAAGGAAGGATGACATCATTAATACCAATATGCATCAACGTTACGTGGGAGATTCAATTAAGGGTGACAAAAAAAATTTAAAATATAAAAGAAGTGACTCAAGCTTTAAGAATAGTGTAGGTGACAAATTTATGATTAGGTTTAATGAAATTTGATCATTTCAAAAAAGTCCTCAAGTTCCCTTATTGAATTAAAAAAAGGTGACAACAGACTAGTCAAAGTTAAAAGCTTTTACTACTCCAACTATATGTTATGCTAAAGTCAATTTAATTAATTTTTAAAAGTAAAATAGATTATATTAATTTGATATTTTAAATAAAAAAAATTAGATATTCTAAAACTATATGAAAAATACTATATATTATAACTTTTTGCGTATCAATATGATGAAAAAATATATTTTAAAATATTAGTCAAGTTTTTATAATTTAACTCTAAAAATAAAAATCATGACAAACAAATACGGACAGAGAAAGTACTCATTAAAGATTAACTTAAGTAGATTTCAAAATATATATTTTAAAACTTTGATAAAAATACAAAAATAATCCATCCTTTTTTCATAGGTTCAAATTTATTTTTCCTTTTTTCTTTTATAAGTTCAAATTCTCTCCCCTTTCCTCGAGAGAGAACTAAGAAAAATTTCTCAAGTTTGTTCTTCTCTATTGTCTTACTCCTCTTATTGTTAGGGTTTCAATTTTTCTTGTGAAATGATGATTTAGGTTAAAGAAGAGACGAAAAAGCATATAAATTTCACAAATTATGTTTTTGCATATCCTACTTAACTTAATCCCTAATTAGTAAAAGCTTTGATTTTGGCGTTGTCACATTTCTTTTTTAATTTTCAACTCCTACACTCATTTTTCACATGATTGAAGAATGAGAAGAGGCTTTTGCTTATAAAAATGTGTATTTAATATTGAAGGGTGTAATACTCTGAAATTAGACATGCTTACAATGCTAACGAAGATGGTGTATACAATGCCCCATGCCTTCTTTTTATGTGTTAGCTAAAGCAACTTGTGTCGATGAGCTCTTCATCAATTAAACATGATATTTTTAACAACTTTAAATTTAATGAGTTTACTTTCTATTTTGTGTTAAGGGATTCAAAGTTTATATACTATACATAAACAAAAAATACTTTTATAAATTAATACAATGTATATGAACACTCTTATGACCCTCTTGATTCGCCTATGACAGTGTGCGCGCTGAAAATTGGCCACCTAATCATATTTTGTGACTTGAAGATAATAATGTCAAAAACAAGGATTATCTATCTAATCTAAGGATAGAAAAGAGCTTATCTTATACTTCCTTCTTACATTTTATATATAACTTTTTTTTATAAATAGTTGGATCACAATATTTATTTTTTTATAAAATTAATGCATAAATTATTATATTTCGCCTATTTTATGATTGACAGTGTAGTTAATTAATCTTAAAAATATATTCATAATTTATTATAAAGTTGACTTAGTAAAACATTAAAAATAAATAGACGAGTAAAGTTACATCATTTCTTAATACAAGCGTAAAGTAAAAGTGACATGAGGAAGTAAATATTGAAGAATGATGTATACTAAAACAAACTTTGGAAGTTTTTTTCTTATTTGTTAATATGGATAATAGAGAGATAGATAATACACAATTTGTACTTTTAATAAACACGGAAATAACTTTTTGAGACTATATGGTTTGACTCACATGAATTATTCGAAATAAATTACTTATGAAGTTATATTTTTTTATTATATTTTATGATAAAAAAATATTTTTATCGTTATTTCAAGAGATAATAAATACGATTACAAGTTAATATTTAAAATTTTTAATTTCATGGCAAATCATGTGGGACTGACCCCTCCATCTAAGCGTTAACTAGAATCCCACTAACTTATCAATTCATCCTCCTAAATCAAAACCCTAGTTTTGAGAGAAAAAATAAATAATTTTCATTGAACCCTCTCGTTCTCAGTTCTAAAAATAAATATTTTATTTTACTTATTTATTTTAGCAAATCAGGTGTTATTATTATATTTCATATTATTCTTAATACTAAATAACCATATAAAATAATAATAGTCAAATTTTGGATTTGAAAACATAATTAATAAAATTAATTTCATAAAATGCACCTCAAATGAAAAAATAATAATCATTTAAAAGATAATGTATCAAATATATTATGAAGCGTAAATTACATAAAATCTCATAGTTTTAATATGAAATTACAATTGATCCCTAATAAGTTTTAATTACATTAATCTCCTAAAAATTAAAAAAATCGGATACAATAATTGAAGCTTAGATACATTAATATGTAGTTCGAATACATTAAATATTGTCTCGAATACATTAATATGTAGTTCGAATACATTAAAAATAAGCCCGGATACATAATATATAGCTTAGATACATTAATTATTAGTCCAAATACACTAATATGTTGCTCGAATAAATAATATGTAACTCGAATACATTAAATATTGATTCGAATACTTTAAAAAATAAGAGATATTTTGAATTTTTAAAAATATAATAGGAAGTAATGAAATAAAAAGTGTCTATTTTCGTAATTTGTTGTGAATGCATGGATAATGTTCCATATTTAGTTGACTATTGATATTCCCCAATAGTTCAATTAATTTATCCCCACGTCTTTTTACCTTCAAAAATTTTTCAGTTTTCCAATGCAGAGCGAAAAATGGACCGTCACACTCAATTAATTCAATGTAAAGTTTAACCTCGTCTTTATGAATATGGGTGTTTTGTTTAGTACAACTAAGCAGAAACAAATATTTTTTTTCTAAAAATAAAATAAAATTATAATGGGTTCCTGTGAGAGTAGTGCAAAAAACTCTGATGAAATAAAATGTGATGAAACTATTGAGCAGTTGAATCTAGGTAGTCTTTCATCATCAGAAGAGGTAATTAAAAGAATTGCAATTGGAGCAGTAATAGTATTGCTAGGATGGGGCTTGTGTAAACTAATTAATGATGGAGGGTCTGTCAACAGGAAAATGATGAAAGCTCCAGGAAGAAACGGCAGTCACATTTACAGGGATCAATTTGAGAGTAACCCTTCTCAGTATTTCCGCAGACTTCGCCGCGATTAATAAGATATTTTTAATATGGTGTGATTGAACGTTAGCTAGAGTCGCTTTATTTAATGGCTATGTCACATATGTGTGTGCGTTTTGTTTAAGTTGGTTAATGTTTTGTTTTTAATTGATCTACTTTGTTAGAACATCATTTTGCTGTATTAAAGCTATTAAGTCGATTATCTCGTAGTGATGTTGAATGATCATATTGTTATATTTCCTTTTAAAGACATTTTTTTTCTTTCATTGATTGTTGAAAATATCTTATTTAAGTAACGTTTTACTAATCGTATGACTAGGTGCCAAACTGTCATGTTCAGTAGGTGGTTTTTAATGTTTGAATTTGACATTGAGCAGTTAAATTATTTTTAAATATTTATTTAGTGATTAAATATCAAAAGATATGACAAACTATTTGAGTCGGCGTGTTTATTAAAAAAATAATGATTAATTTAATAAATTTATTGTTTTATAATATAGTTAATATATATTTGCTCATTACACTATTTAGAGACAATAACTCAATTGTTATAAGAAAACTGTTGTTCCCAGGGCTGGACCCATGTGATCTTGAGTGGGTTTCCTCAAATTCTGATAAAAAAATTACATTATATATATAAATTAAATTTTCTATATTTTTTGTAAATATATATATTTTCAACATCTCAATAACAAAGAGAAGTTTCCCGCTGCAGTGGAAGTCTTTTTGAAATTAAGTTGTGCGTCTCTTGTCCAAGCTCCAATGAATGAGTTTTATTTTTTCCTTTTTCAATTTTTTTAGTTTTTTTATATATTTCTTTAGTGTTTTTTTTTTAATTTTAAAAAACGTGTTAAAAGTATAGTTTTAAACTCCATTAAATTTAAGGTTTTCATTTTGAAAAACTTATTTACACATTTATGTTCTTACTTTCGAATTTTGTGAACAAAAATTCTGAATCCGCCACTGGTTATTCCTTTTGACAAAATTGATAAGTTAAAAAAGGAAGTTAAATTACAAAATATTTGACAAGTAATAGGGATGCAGAAAATATTTTGTTTGAAGAATACGTTGGAAAATGATGTTTTTACATTGATTAAAATAGTACTTGTAAAAACACTAGGTGATTCTTCTCATTTTGTTCTAATTTTAATGGACAAATGACCATAAGAATTTTCAAAAATAAAATGTACTACTACTCACCTTATTCTTATTTACTTATCTACTTAGCACATCTATATATATAAAAAAATGAATCCCTCCGTTCCATGTGATATCATTTTTTTTTTGGTCAGTTCAAAAAGAATGTTACATTTTTTTATATGGTAAATATTTAAAAGTATAATTTTTTTTTCTTGTTGGTTCCACCTAATATTAAAATAGTACCTAATACATTTATGAGAAGATAGAAAAATAAGTTTACTTTTTTAAAGGACAATTAGATTAACATTTCATAGTCTTCATTATTTTTTAACTCCGTGCCTAATAAAATTGCCACGTAAAAATGAGACTAAAAGGAGTAATTTTTTATTTTATTACTATTAATTAATAGAATATCAAAATCAAATTGCAAATTAGAAGAAGTTCTAATGGGTAAAATAAGAAGGGATAGAGGTGTATCATTTTCTCTCTCTAATATTTAAATATTGGAAAATAGAGTAAATTTATCCGTATATATAGGAGTTCCCAAAGCATTATTTGAAATTCCAAAAAGCCTTTGGCGCACATCAAAAACATGAGAGAACATCATCTTCAAACACCATTGAAGGAGCTCGGAAATCGCCGATCAAAATCCATCTCCGCCGATCAAACTAAGAAGCAGATCAAAGTATACAGAAGATTTCAGCAATGAACATTCATATGTATCCTCTGTTTTCTCTTCTTATATTCATCTTATTTTTTGTATGCAGAGCACTAGGAAGAACTTGAATTCTGTGTTTGAATCGCAAGCTGCCTCCTCATTTTCTCAATCATCGATCGGCACTTCTTCTCTGTTTTCAGATGATCATAGTCTACTCACTGAATCTGCCTCTGAGGTAATATCTGAAATGCCTCCTATTTCATCAATTTTCTAGCTATTTATTTGCATTTTCATAATTGTACTTCTCACACAAGCCTAACAGCGAACAAGTTCTAATTTCTTCTCTGTTAATTTCGTTCACTGAAACCGCCGTTGAGATAATTCAAGATGTGCGCGCGAATTTTCATCACTAATTGTAGTATTTACACAAAATTGAGTTAGCTGAGTTCGTTCATTAAATCCAAATTTTGTATGTAATTTTTTGATCTTCTATTGATTTAAAGTGTTTTTTCTCTGCATTGTTTGAATTTCGCAGCTATGACTCCGTTTTCACTTTTCAGCAGTACAGTGTGTGTCCTGTTACGGTTGAAGTATGCAATTCGCTTTGATTTCACTAGTATATTCAAAATCTGATCATAATTTCTTACTCTGTTTGCGATAAATAAGCTATTTGTATCTCAATTGTGTATGTTTTCAATTTTGAGATATTTGAATTGAGTTTCATGTCTGCGAATTTCACTACTCTTTATAGTATTTGAGATGAACTTTCGGATCCCTATTCCTCTCAGGACTTGTTGATTCCAGAGACTTCTCCTTCATCAGAGGCAGTGGATCCTCTAGTTGATCTGACTCCATTGTCATCGACAGTAACTTCTGACAAGTTCAAAGAATGCACTGGTTCGAATAGCCGTAATGAAATTCCACAAATTAGTGATGTGAATTTTGGTTCTGTTGAGGCTGAAATGGCAGTAAAGTACCTAAGAGAAGCTCAAGTGCAAGTGGTGAATGCAACAGATATTGATATTCGGTATAAGAACCTTCTCGATGCTTTCATGAACACTGTAGTTGAAGAGTTCTATGGACTGCCAGAAGACAAGGACTGCTATAATGCCATTGTCTCAAAGAAACTCCATTTGGTGACACTGACTTTCTTGCTGTGGATAATTGCTGTTTTCATCGGATTCTTCTTCCATTCGGGCGAAAATCACTCTTTCCATGGACCTTTACCTACCTAAAATGTTGCGATCTCAGTGGCTGATGTTTGCAGGTATATTTCTCTTTTCACCTATGGTACATGAACTCTTCATTTTGCGCTGATGTATTCGTGTCAATCATATTCGAAAAAAGTGTTTGTAGTTCTGTTTTGGATCTTCATTTTGGAATTTGGTATAACTTGTGTGAATCATAACTGTGTCGAGCATGGATGTATGTGTTAAGCAGATAATTCAACTAGATCAAGTGTCAATCTGAAGCATTTTGGTAGATATCAGCTGAATATCTGATTGTTTTGATCTATAGAGAGCACAATGATATGCTGCAATTTGCTTGGGAATTGAATTTGATACAAGATGGAAGAATATCAGATGAAATCGTTTTTACCTACTAATGCATTTTACAATATACTGACAAATAATTGTTAACTAAAGTTCAAATATAGAAGACATGAAATACTCGCAAGTATTTGATTTCAGAAGACGTTGACCATTTTGGTAATGACTTTGGCTCTTGAGTGACATATGTAGGACGTAGGGAGCTGATGTAACCAATATCAATCTACAGAGTGTATGGTTCTACACATATATATCCATAGCAAAACATAAGGCCTAAATGGTATATTTTAAGTGCGTCCAGAAAATGGACCAATCCGTCCAAAATAAATTACCCTCACGTAAACAGAAGTTGAACCATTAATAGTATGATGTAACTTTCTAATACTTGGTAGGAACGACATCAAATCATCGCAAGACGTTAAAAAATTGAGAACAAGTAGAAAGAGTCTACACCTTTAAGAATCCAACCCAAAGCATTTCACAATTAACTTTAGTTCCAAATTGCAATAGTGGTAGTTGGTGTTTCCCTTTATTTCAAAACAAACTTGGTTAATTTTCTGTTTGCTTGAAATATAGAGAGATGATACACATAGGAGTACAATGCACATCTAAATAAATTTTGCCTGTTCAAGATTCTTTTTAAATCTGTTCCGGAATTGTAACTTTAAAAAACAGAGTGCATATAGAATGAATTTTCTGAGAATTCTCAGGTATAGATAAATTTTCTAAAGGCATGTCTAAGAATTTTGCAGCGTAAAATTTCACAAAATTGCCTCAACTCTATGGTGCAACTGAAAAATCAACCAAGAAAAAAAAAGCTCAGCCCCAAAACCTACTAATAAAACCTTTCTTATCTTTCTTCATACGAGCGTCCAGCGATGGAAAGTCAATAAGGTTATAAGCCAGGTCCAATACGATGGGATTACGAGGAACTGGTTGGAAGGCAGGCGGAAATGTTTCAATTCGAGGAGCAACCTTCATGTTGGCTTCACCAACAGCTGATTCGTATGTATCCAACTTTTCCATGAGAAGTTTCTCCATCTAAAAGAAGTAAAAAACATGGATTTACGCACATCAGGGGAATCACAAGACTGCAAATGGGAATGAAAGCAGAAACAAGACAAACTAGAAAAAGAAGAATGCAAAATATAATGGCAAAAAACAACCCCGAATAAATAAGGATATAAAGGACCCAGTTCTTGGATTAAAAAGAAAATAGGCAATCAACTGCCGAGGAATCTAAGTTGCACGGATTCAAAAACAACCCCAACCAAATAAGGATATAGAGAAGTAGCATGAACACTTGAAGTAACTACCACATATCAAGTATAAATCAAGGCAGAATCATACTTGGTGCTTCAAACATTCAGGTTACGCTAATATTGTGCTAGCTAATATAAAACTATTAAAAAAAATATTTCCAACAGTTGGGAGCATCTATGTCGTATTAATTGGATAAAAACCTGAAATGAAGTAAAACTGAAATTTCTACTGTGTGGGGTGGAGGTGGGGATTTGTGTCAACCACAACGGTGAAGTGCTCAGCAAGAATTACGAATGAAGAAACACCACTCTTAGTAGTTCATATCTGACCACCTTTTGGGGACACAAGCATAATTATAACACCAGAAGAAATTCTCTAACTGTATTATCGTTTCATGAGTTGAAACCTTCAACGAAAATTTACAGCTTCATGTCACATTATGCCTATTAATTTGAAGAATCCTGCACACAAAATGCAGCATCCTCTAAAGGACATGAGATAGAGAAAACTATTATTTTTTTTGCTGAAAATAATCGAGAGGCTAATCTAAATGTTGACTAGATTTTGAATTACCAAGAATTCAAAATTCTTAATTCAAACTAATACTTTTAGAATAAAAGTTAAAGAGGGTATTTATGCTCGCCGTGTTCTTTATATGGACATCCGAGGCCAGGGGTCCATTCCCTTGACCCGTACTGATGAGAATTTGACTCCACGAGAAATTGAACAAAAGGCTGCTGAATTAGCTTATTTCTTGCGTGTACCAATTGAAGTATTTTGATAAATTGAGAAAAGGTCATAGAAGAAGATGGTTGGAAGTAATTCTACGACACAGAAAATCTCCATAGTTTCTTTCCTAGTTTTTCATATAGTAGTCTAAGAATATGTGGTTCCATATGCACCAAGAACATCACAGAGAAGGTGAATACTACAACAAATTAACTAATGGTAATGATTGCAAAAGTACTCAACAGACATATGGAAGGCTGAATCGTACCTTCTTATCAGTTCCATTCAATGAAATATTTGATATCTTTTTCGAGAGATTTTCTGGAGCCTTTTCCTCCTCCATAATTCCTTTGGCATGCTCAACATAGCTGTTAGATCTGCTCTCGTTACACAGTGTTCTCAGTTCATTGATGATGACCTGATACAGATGGAGAGAAAACAATGACAGAAGAAGATACAAAAAAAAAGAAGCATTCACATTTCACACTCATATACTAATTGAAGCGACATGAGTAGAAGTTAAAAGAATGCTATAATTATGCATCAGAATTTACTACAAGGGAGAGTTAGCAGTTGAAGGTCAACATGGCTGCTTAAAGTCACAAAATCCATTATATGGCATTTTGGTTAGTTTGTGTTACTTTTGTGCATTTTTACTGGTAATATAGGCTTTAGTGTGCACTTAAATGACGAAAACACCAGGAATCGTTTACTTATATGCCAGGTGTTGTCCTACCTTTAACAGCATGGGCTATAAGTTAAAAGAAAGATAAAAAACATAACTAAAGAGTATAATATACATTACTAAATTTAAAACCGTAGAAATTTGTATCACATTTTATCCTTTTGAAAAATTTAATCAACTTACGCTTAATGTTGTAGTATAATATAAGTTAAAAAAAAAAAAGATCTTAAGATGAGATTTTGAAGTTCTGAGGAAGTTAGGAAATCATGAATACATATAGATACAAATTTGATAATTTTGGGGTAGAATTTTTTTGGAGTTGGGCCTGCCTCTAGCACGGGTATCTTTGTACTAGTCATCCTATAAGAAACAGCTAGGAAGCTTTATCAATGAAAATTAAGAGCACATACACCATAACACAATATAATAAAAGTAGGTACTTAGACTAATAAAATGTTTACCTGATCAGCAGCATTCGCAGACTGCAGCTTCATAAGAGCTGCATCAGCTAAAGAATGAGCTCGAGAGTACAAGGCATAAGCTTCTGTCCTCTTACCCGCCGAACTATAGGACTTTGCTAAGTAGAAGCACCTGGAGGGAAATTGAAATAAAAGCTTTTAATTGATTTCAAAAAAGAAAATATACATTCTATGACTACATTAAAATACACCAAGGTTTATTACATTGATCATCACTTCAGCATTTTGTACATTGAAGTTGTACAACTTCTTTATCTGAGATACTAAAAGTTTAGGATCTCCCTTCTATAAATTCACCAATAATATTAGCTTTATCAAAAAAAACTTTCACCAATAATATTAGTTTTCGATGGCGACAAGAAGTGCTAAAACCATATGAAGATAGTCTTTTGCTCTCCCCTTCTCACCAGAAACGTCATTTCAACTATCGCAAAATGAAAGAAACAATACAACAACATACAGTCCCACAAGTGAGGGCTGGGGAGGGTAGTGCATACTCAAACCTTACCCCTGCCTTGGGAGATAGATATGCTATTTTGGATAGACCTCGGATCAAAATAAACATTTCAACTGAATTAAGTAATAAAAGTCGAACCTTTCTGCTCGGAAAATCATACTTTTCAGCTCGCACTCTTCAGCTAAGGCAATTTCTTCCATTTTTCTATCTCTACCAGAACTAACTAGATCAGAAAGATCAGCAGTATTCTGCAACAGAGCAAGCAGTTAATAGTGCAGTCCAATAGTCATATAAGTGAATCTTGTCATATTGCCAACTCTGATCTAAAATGCACTGATTAAGAATGTAATTAAAAAATTACACTCCAAAATTGTTACCTGTAGCAGTAGATCATACAGCCGAACAAGCTCCTCTGGTTTTGTGACCTTTTCATTTTTATCATCACGGACCTTGTTGAGCTTGCTTTTAGCTATTTTAACTAGCAACTGATTCCTCTCAATGGTTCGCTGCCCTAAAATTGCACCAATGGCTTTATCCAGTCCACTTAACTCATCCTTAACATTTTCCGAATTAGCAGCCGTAACCTAGAAGAAAAACCATGTATTAGATGGACCAATTCAGGACTTCAAATTGATGTACGCAATATACAAGAGCAACTTGAAATTTCCAAGAGATAGCTACTTCCACGTGATATAAGGAGTAGTCCTCACCAGGTCATTCCGGATGCAGCTCCTGGCTTCGTGATATGCTGCAAATATTTTGTCATACAACACAAGTTTCTTCTCTGCTGGAAGAGAATCAGCAGCTGAACCATGGATATCTTTCTCCAGTTCCTGGGCTGATGAATGGAAGTGTGGAATATAAGCTTAAAATATAGTAAAAACCAACATGATATTTTAAAGGCAGATATGCGAATATGCATTTAGTTGACCGAAATCCAAAGAAGTGATTAAAAGTTACTCCCACCATTTCAATTATGTGGAAGGCTTTGACTGAGAACAGAGTTTACGAACGGAACTTTTTTAGATCTTGTGGTTTTATATATGCCATGATATTTTTGTGGTCATAAACGCATGTCATTAAGGGTAAAATGAGAAGTTTAAAGTCAAATTGTGTCCCAAGTATAGAAATTTTCTTTTTGGAACAAACTAACAAGGAAAGAGCGTCACATAAAATTGAATAAATGGAGTATTTCATTAGAGATGCAAAAATGAGGAGGAAAAATTTTAGAACTAAATTACAGGCCTCTTAAGTTAAATCCAGTGAAGATTCTCATGTCCCACTCAAGTTTGTAAAAGCAACAATGTTAATGCAATTTTTTAGGTACTACCTTTAGTCCATATTAAGTGAATTGTTGAGACTTTCACAGTTCAAAATAAGTGAATTTTTCAAAGTTCAAGAGAACTTTGGGACTGTTTCCATATTTACCTTTCCCTTAAATGAGGTTCTTCACTACTTTATATTTTCTAGGAGAATAGTTTTGGAATAATCAAAAGGAATAATAGTGGAAAGTAGCACATTTAATTTCAGTCCTTCAATATTTTTCTTAAGGGGTGTGCCATATCCCAAAAATTCACTTAATATGGACTAGAGGCGTATAATATATACATATGTATAATTCATTCTTTGTGAAATAACGGACTCGTTGCATTATAACATAGCATTCCATCAGTTTCAAAAATGTATAACATAGCATTCCTAGTGGACAATTCGTTACAATTTTGGTTTGCCTCCTATTTTTACATATTTTATACTTCGTTAAATTTATCATCACAGTTGCTAAGACTAGACATGCAAATCTGCAACTGTTAACACCCTTAACATTAGAAGGCAACTCATAAGGGTCATAGAGAGTGCTCCGCAACCTACAAGAACTTCAAGTACATACATCCACAAAAGAAGTAGAAAATATCAGCAATGCCCTAGATATGCTTTGTTGCATAAAGAACACAAATATGCAGACCACAATATGAAACTAGGTTGAAAGAATAAATTTGGTTCAAAATCATAGAGTGGAAGAATTCCAAACTTAAGAGATCAAAAAATCCTATTGCTAGAACCTCCCATAAGTTGGCTATGGATGCATTTATCTAAGTGCTACCTTTTGTATCGAAGTAATTACATACCTTTCAGAATGGACACCCGTGTCTTTGCATTTGAAATTGGAAATCTATTTCCAAGCCAATGGAATTCTGTCATAGATG